ATATATATATATATATATATATATATATATATATATATAACACTATTTGAATTATCCCATCATGCAGGGCACTTTTCATGAGACATTCATTTTCTCTTGCAGTTCCTCCAAGGATTATTATTCCCAAGACTAGGGTTGGACAAGCAGTGAACTATGGTCTAAATGCCGAGCTGGAATGTATCGTGGAAGGTAAGAAAGTTCCATCAGAAACTAACTTCCCATCACGTTATTCACACGAAAGCATGTATGAAACAGTGGATGCATTCGTAGCAAATATGTATGAATCAATATTTTATTAATGGGCTACTACTGATCAAGTCTATCATCTATAGTCTATCGTCAGTATCTATAATCTGTAGTCAAGTCTAGACCTATAGTCTCTTACACCTTGATCACCCGCATAAAAGCAGAGTCGTAACTAGTGGAGGGAGCAGGGGCACGGCAGCACCAACAACAAACTGTCTACGGTCAACTACCCAGAACACCAACCACGTATGGCTCTGCTATGCCGCTCACCGGCAAAATATGTTAGCTACGGTCCGTCGTACAGCCATAACTATACTGTCCAGCCTTGTGTGTAAGCGAATGTTTATAGGAAAAAAAAGTTAAATTAATAAATTGTTAAATAAAAATTGAAATGTTAACGATGCGTAAACCCATCTTTGCAGGCTTCCCGGCGCCTGTGATTCAGTGGTTCAAGGATGACAAAACCGAGATAGTCAACAACCGTGACTATCAGACGAGTAATTTCCTCGGTGAGAACGACTTCACCTCCTCTAAGCTGACGGCGAAGAGAGTCAGGGCACTCCACTACGGAACCTATTTCTGCCGAGCTGTTAACCCGCGAGGCTCGAACGAAGCGGCTGTGTCCTTGTACGGTAAGCAACGGCGAGACTCTCTCTCGTTCTCTCTCTCTCTCTCTCTCTTTCTCTCTCTCTCTCTCTCTCTCTCTCTCTCTCTTTCTCTTTCTCTTTCTCCCCTTTTCCTCTCTCACCCTTCTCTCTCTTTCCTTTCTCTCTCCTTTCTCTCTCTCTCTCTCTCAATTCATTTCTCTCGTCTTTCTCTCGTCTCCTCTCTCTCTTCTCTCAGCTCTTCTCTCTCTCTCTCTCTCTCTCGTCTGCCTTTTCTCTCTCGAACCCCTCTCTCTCTTTCTCTTTCTCTTTCTCCCCTTTTCCTCTCTCACCCTTCTCTCTGCATCTCCTGTTCTCTCTCTCTTTCTCTCTTTCCCATAACTCTTTCTCCCTCAACGACTCTCTTTCACGCACAGACGTATGCACACACGCACACACACCAGCGCTAATACTCACAAAACAAGTAGATAAAGTCATTGCTGGAAAACACAGGTTGTTCAGCTGGACACGATTTGGTCCGGTTCTTGTAATGGCATCTTAATAGAGCAATGTAAATCTAAATACGAAATCATTTTTGGGTGTAACAATCGCATCGTTTGAAAGACCAGTCAGATTTTGGTAGGCCCATTTGGCCCCTTGGAAATTGCAAATGTCCACAAAGTTCCGGCAGATCTACAGAATGTCAACCCCATGATTAATAGCAACGTAAAAAGCTGAGTAATATGGTCGCCCTTGATTAAAAACTGAATACGTAGCATCTTGTACGCGTGACTAATCTTTATTTTACTTGCTTTGCTCTTTCAGAGGTGTCTGTGCCCAGCTACGAGCAAGGTGGAAAACCCGTTGATTTTCTCGGCAATTCCGGCAGAAAGATGGTCCAAACCATCTCATCTGTGGCTCTGCTGTTACTGGTTGCATTCCTCATGCACTAACGTTCATAGAGACGTGTGCAATACATTATAATTCATTGTACATAATCTTGAGGCAGTTTTTAAACATCGTAGATAAGTTTGTAAATACTCGCCGGGCGTTCGTGGCTGCTGGGTAAAAAGTTATATTATGATCGCGATGCATTTTCTTACCGATTTTTAATTACTTTTTAAGATACGGCAGTATTTTATATGTGAATGTTCATGTTAGTTTTAAGTATATACGTAAGGCATCATCTAATCTTCGTTCCGTGGTTATGGTTGCACCTCCATAACACTGCAATCGACGCTGTGGATATTCACAAAGGCAAAAGTAGTTTATATACTTTTAGTAAGAGGTTAACAGTAACGTGTCCTTGGTCTCAGTATTGCTCGGTCTATCCGGCTAACTTTTAATCTCGCACGATATATGTCGTTCTCAGGCCGAATGGTGCTGTTACTGGTGACCAGTATCACAATCACACGCGGCCCCACTCAGATACGTTACGCGAACATGCAGCTTTATAAACTTTTGTCAATTCTCTGCTAAATATAACAAGCACGTCAGTCGTCAATGATTCACGTAGTTTATACGTGTCTATTAAAATGCAATAGTTTTTCAACGAGACAAATCAGAGTACGCGTCAACTTTCCAGATATTTGCTAGTAGCCAATTAACCATGCTGATGTTACTTCGTAAATATAAGCAATGCGGAGTTTCATGTTCTGTGTACAAAGATTGAGTTTATGAGGGTGAAATACACGGTATTATGACAAATTCTTAGGTAGACTCTCTTTAAACTAGATGATCTGTGTGTTTTATCTAGATGATAGCCTGAAACGCCGAATCAAACGTAAATCGTATGGATCTTTCGGACTCTTCATGAAATCTTCAAAATTTCAGGCAAAAGAACCTCGAATGTTTAAGCAGTCTGCATGAAAATATTTATTACACCCTGCTTACGATTGCATGTATTCAGCAGATTAGGTAATTTTACGAATGTAATGAGTACACATGCTATAGATTTCCTAAGGCATAAACGGAGTTGTAGTTTCAACTTGGGAGGCTGCACATGTATGTGAAAATAGCAATCAAGTTTGTTCATTATTATCTGGCTTTATAAGTAATATTGGTTTTAGCACACGCGCTTGTTTACAACTTGGAATTAGTTTCGAGTTTGATGTAATTTGTTTTTTTACTGAAAAATACATTCAGAGTCGATTACATGAATACCACGTCTTCTTTCGGTTCGTTAAAATTTTAATATTGGCATGTAAATCCCGTCTATTTTATTGGTTTTCTTGTGGAAAATGTCATATATTAATTATAGAGAGATGTGTACATAGTCAAACCCAATATATTTTCGGTATCCCTTTACAATCTAACTGGTGGGCCGGTAGGAGGAACTTTTGCACAGGCGCGGGAAATGTTTCAATAATAAAATTATGGTAAATAAATACGAAATATAATTTCTGCCAAAGTCTAAAAGTTAATCTATTCTCTTTCGCCTATTATTTGTATCAGTTTCCCGTAAATACAGTTCAGATAGATAGATAGATAGAGAGATAGATAGATAGATAGATAGATAGATAGATAGATAAATAGATAGATAGATAGATAGAGAGATAGATAGATAGATAGATAGATAGATAGATAGATAGATAGATAGATAGATAGATAGATAGATAGATAGATA